CATATCCAGGTCGCCTAGGGATACCGTCCTTCGCCAACCATCGTCCGATCTCCTCATAATGGTCCAGTAATAGTCTCTTGTCGCTGACGTTCGTGACCTGGAGGTATTGCGATCGACCTGGTCCTTGGATTACGGTAGGTACCCATTTCTCGCCCCGAGTGACCCACAGTTTCTCATGTTCCACCCACTTTAACCGGTCTGACAGCTCCCAAGTTTCCCCGGGTTCGATCCAGGTGGTCTTATCCGCCCTTATGATCCTCATCTTCGCTCCATACAACGGCCGCCGTCCGCTGAGCTGGATCCGCATCTCGTCAGGGAAACAAAGTGTCCCATCCGCCAGATCCAACCTCACTCCGGCTGGCACCATGAAATCCATCCCAAGGATGGCGTCTTGACCAGCGAGATCCCCGACCCAAATGTCAAACCAATACACCAAACAACCTGCTAGCGTGATCTTAATTCGCGTTCTCCCGTTTGTACGGTATACGCCTTCACCAATCCCAACACAATCTTGGATCCGACTCCCATCCACTTGGCACCCAACCTTACGAGCAAAGGCGGTATCCAGTATAGACACCTCGGCACCACTATCTAGAAGTAGGATTGCTTTTTCATTGTTGATCTTGCCCCCTACCTTGGCTTGTCTGAACCACTTTCCTGGGGCATGGTACTTCCAGTATCCACGGGACTCCCCTGTTAGCAGATCCATGGATCCAACATCCTCAGATCCACAGGATCCAGTGACCAGACAGACCTTAGGTGGATCTGCAGTGACCTCACCCTTGGTAGGCTCAAACCATCGACCATGTTGGCGTTTCTCCCAGTAACCACGTGTCTCTCCTCTTTGTAGATCCAGGGTTGAAGAGACTTTGGATCTGGAAAACTCGTCCACTTGGCGCAAACTAGAGACCCTGGCAACTGACACTTCATGTAGATCACGTGTATTATCGACTGGATCTAGGGTCCTGCTACCTGGATCTAGCGATGTCTTGTTCACAAATGCATAAATGCAGTACCTAGAACGCTCGGCTCGTACCGGATTCAAACCCGGCGAGCGTCCTAGTTTAACATCTTCTCGGCCACTTCCGGCAACATCCCTCGGTGCTTGGCTGGATCAAACCATTGGCGGATCTGGTTGTAGAATTCTTCCATCGGGCACTTGCCGACGTCGTGAATCTCGCCACACCCGCGACACACGTAGAAGCAATGATCCCCGGGATGACCTTTCTTGCCACACTTCTCACAGACCAGATGTTTCCAGCATCCAGATTCAGTGTGCTTCCGGGATCCGCACTGCGAACACCTGACTTGTGCTGCCCCGTCCATGAGATCTCGGGATCTGTACATCCCACGGTCCCCGGGTACGGTATCCCCCGGTCGAGAGTTGTCTCCTGTCTTCGCCGTTCGATCGTTGGACGCAGTGAGACAGACTCGACGGTAATCTTCAGGGTCGGAGTCCGAGCCGTCGGATCCTGACTCAGTTCCTGAGTCGGGCGCCGTGACTTGGTGGACACGTCGAGCTGGGGCCGTAGGCGTCGGAGCCTTTTGGCGATACTTGCCGGACCCGACCGCCGCCTTCTTCTGGCGGTGTTTCGCTCGATCCACCGCTCGCAGTACTTCTTCAAGCTCGTCTGCGTCGGGAAGTCGTAGCAGGGTCAGCCTGTCGGCCAGATCCACATCTCCCAACGTCTCGATGAAATGATCCACGTGTTCCCGCAGTACCTTGGATCCCCCATCCTTGATCTTCAACTTGGCCCGTAGACCGGCCACATTTAGTCGATGTAGGTATTCCAACGGGGATTCATCCGATCTGCGGCGAGCGTGGTAGTATTGTCGTGCCACCGACACTCCTAATCCACAGTACTGGGTCTGGAAACTGCGCAGCAAATCTGGCCACTTGTTCCTGGTTGATCTGCCCAGCTGCCGATACCAGTTCCTGGCTGGCCCCGCTAGCAGATCCGCAAAGGTCAGACACTTCTCAGCATCCGACGCTTGATCTCTCATGAGGGCCGACTTGACTTTGCTGATCCATGTTCTCGCTCGGTCCTCATCTTGATCCTTGCCCGTGAACTCCTTCAAGTCCGATATAGCTGAGATCCGTACCCTCTGGATCATGGACGATCCACCTGCCCCGGCTGTGGCCGTTGCTACCACGGCTGCCGAAGTGGATGGGCCATCCAGATCGTCTGGGTCGAACTCATCATGGGAGTTGTCCCCCTCTACTGACTCCATCTCCACGTCCCGTGCTCCATGTTCGTGGAGCACTTGCACTTGTGGCACGGGCGCTCTCATACCCTGTTCGGCCAGGAAGCGATTCATCGCAGCTTCAAAGTGCCGCTGCAGGGTGCCCGAGGAAGTGTCGGAAGAGCCTGTGGCCGTCTGGTCCACTGGCGGAACTGGATCCGTGAGGCGATTACCTCGAGCCTGATCTGACGATAATCCCACTGGCTTCTTGCCGGATCTGGCTCGATCCTGGCTGGATTGTGTCAGATCACGCGTAGGGCGTACTGGATCCCGAGCTTTCACGTTCACAGGGGCTTCCTGTCCTCGGATCCTCGCCCGCGCTTCAAGCATGGATGCCCCGGAGGGTCCTAAAGTCATGCGTCGTGGTTCGGACGACGTGTCTGACTCATCCTCAGCGGCGGATTCGTAGTTTGAGGACGCAGCTTGGCTGATCCTCGGCGACGACACTGGGTCCATAGTGCGCGACCTTTCTCCGGTGATGGACTTAACTCTGGCAAAGAGGTCCCGCGTCGCGGATACTATGAGATCCAGGTCTAGCTCGAAGATATCCTCTGCGTCGAACACACCAGCTACGATGCCTGACTCCGTAAGCAGACGTAATAGATCTTTGACTGCCACCAACTTGTTCGCCGTTTTCGTTGGTGCTCCCACCGGTTCCCTTGGATCTTCGATCTGTCGTGGATTCAGGATCTGCATGACAGGATCTTGATGCAGGAAGTCGCGTAAAGCCTGGTGGCGATACACAAACTCGAGATCCTTGTCGGACCAGCTTGACCTGGATCCAGCTTGGTCTTCTTCCGACTCTGGAGCTTGCATCTTCTTCCGCGTAGTCTTACTCGTTTTCGTCTTCTTTCTTGTTTCTTCGACTAGCGGGCTTGGGTTTAGGTACGGTGTTGGCTTAACCGGTGAATCTGCAAATGCATACCGTTTCGCCTTCACTTTCCCTTGTTTTGTTAGCGGATCTTGACTTGCGTCAAGATCCGCAGGGGTCCCCGAGGGGACCTGGGGAGGATAGAGAGGTTTCTCTTCTAGATCCGGATCCGGATCCACCTCTCTTCCGTCGACAGAGTTCCTCCCAAAACTCCATCGATCCGCGGATCTTGTTTCATTCAGCAGCGTCTTCGTCGATCCGACCTCCGACGACGCCTCTTCCCCTGGCTCAATCTTCACTTGAGCATCTTCTTGGGACTCACGGTGAAATCCCTGGTTCGAATCCGGGCACGCGCACCATTGTGGTGTAGCGGGATCAGCAAAATCTGCGAGATTGCCAGATCCAACTTACCAACTGCGCCCAGACACCGACTAACGGAGGGGGTCCCCCGATGATCCGTGTTCTGCTGAACTTTCCTCACCTTGTGTACCCGTCGGTAGGGCGGGATCTGCTCTCTCGGTAACTTCCGAAGAGTTCAAGTGGTGAAGCTTGAGTGTCTTGGCGAGACGTGGGGATGGGGTGGAGCAGCAGTGGAAAATCTTCACTCTGCGTCCGTGGATGGTTCCGTATCCTAAGCGAATATTCGAGCTTATGGATCCGGGGCCTAGATCGTGGATCTAGCCGTAGGGTTGCCTTGCGGGTGTGTTCCCTTGCCTTTGTGTTGTCCTTTAAGTCGTACTTGCCGCCTCCTGTGACGGGATCTTGAGAGTTGAGAACCTCTAGGGTGTAACCGACCAAGTAGTAAATTCGGTTAACCTGTCGGATCTGCACGAGTAAAGGAAAAGCTCACTAGGTTGTAGGATCTGGCCAATGTATTATCCAGTTATCACTACCAACACTAGATTCGCAATTCCCAACCTTCTCGGAGCTCGTACGGCCAATGTAGTTCCGGTTCTTGAGGGCAGGAAGGCACTTGCGTGATACTGTGCAAATTAAGGTCTGTATTGATGTTTAAGCCTATACCTGCCTGGGTTTCTACCTTCTATGTCTTTCATCTGTTAAATCCCTTACCAGGCTCGGCTGCATGTCCCTTCTTCCCTTGACCCATCATCCCAGCTGTATTATCTTCAGATCCACCGGATCCATGGCGTAATCATTATGGTTACCCTATTATGGGTACACTCATCCGGATCCAGGTCGCTTGGATCCACTTCACTTGAAAGTGTACACTCGCCGTGGATCCGAGCTCTCCAATCATCCAACATCATCTCGCAACCGTCTGTGATCTCCGTTGTCCCACGAAAGTTCGAGATCCACTGTATCCCTCATCCCTATACCCTGGATCCAGGTCCCTTAAGGCGGGATCCTCCCTCCTTGGATCCTAACTCGAAAGCATGGGATCCGGGTCACCTCGCGGTGGATCTTGACTCCTCGTTAGCCGTGGCTACTAGATCCACCTTTAGAGGGCACCTACCATCCTTCCTTCATAGGATCCACACCCGATCCACTCTTGTATAGTATATCCCATATCCATTTAGGTGAATCCAAGTAAGGGTGGATCCGAGGTAAGTCTTGGTGGATCTTGCCTTCTCGTACATCGCTCATACCAGATCCATCGTCACTTCATACGGGGCGCTGCTCGTCATGGCTAATCCACCACCGGCAACTTGCATCCGTGCCAGCCAACCCAAATCCTCTCTAATCACTTGAAATTGTCATTGATTCGGGATAGTGACCCCGCGTCAGGTCCATTCTCTTATTTCTGAGAAAGCACTTTACCACACGACTACCCACCCCCTGCAGCCTCTCCTGGATATGCGAGAGCTGATGGAGTTGAAGGCACACACGCTTCACGTGTATTCGCTCTCCCCCAACTGCTCCTTTATCACAGCTGGCTTCCAGACCAGAGGTACCGAAATCTTCGGTGGTTGGCGCTCAGGATGATACAGAGCAAAATGGGGTGGAGAGCGCTGCTGCTCCGGATGATACAGATTGGGATCCCCGAGAGAATACGACAGATGCTGAAAAAGCTAAGAGTGAGTGTGACGACCCTTCTGATTATCGAGTTGATTTTGAGGTGTTTGATAGCAACGACTTCATGGAGGGGCTCCGGAGAGATCGGTTGTTCAAACGACCGATCCAGACGATGTGAGCGTGGTTGCCAGTGGGGGTGTTAGCGATGTGGACTCCGATGCGGATGATGAAGACGTAATTGAAGACATTACCGTGGTTTCTGGCGTAGAAGGTGTAGATGACGTTGAAGACATGCCATTGAATGATGACATTTCCGACGAGGGTCTTTTTGATCTGACAAGCGATGATCGGAGAATGGATGGGTTACGTATGATGAAGAGCATAGCGATAAGCCGTATTATACAGAATTGTTTGTGTGTCAATCATACTTGTTCTGGATGGTGGTTTGACGATGCATTTGTAGGAATACTTAGAGTTGATGCCGCTACCGACTACTACAACGGGCCCTCTGGCATTGAGCTGGATGGACTCAAAGCCGGTAAATATGCTCACTTCAGGCTGCAGCATACATCCTGCCAGCATTTTGCGATTGGGAAAAGATGGCACACGAAGCACGGTGCCCTGCCCACAGCTGGTTGTGGACGACACCCGCGGCATGGGTGGTGTGGACGTCCACGACCAGCTGCGGCTCCAGCACAACAGTATTCAGAAGTGTATTTTGCTCTGAAAATACTACAATCTGTTGTTCCTGTGCATTATCGACATGGCCGTGGTCAATGGATACATCATTCACTTTCTGACACCTAAGACAAAAGGAGAAAGAACACCTACCCATGCCGAGTACTTGCGCCGTTTGCACACGCAGATTCTTGCACTGCAAACAATTAGTTTTGAGACTCATCCCAACGCTGAGGACCTGGTGTCCGTACCTATACAACGCCAGCAGCACACATTAGTGAATAACGACGTCTTCTACTCCTAGCAGCACAAACGCAGGCAGTGCCTTTGCAAAGTTTGCTCGGCTCTTGCGAACTCAAACACCAAGTCATTCGAGACTAGCTTTTACTGCTCGCATTTCAGCGAGGTGTTTGGAGGTCGAGTACCTCTATGCCGACACGTTAGACGCGTCGACGGCGGAAACACGCTGATATGCTCGCAAATTTGGCATGACACGTAAAGCGAAGGGAAGAGCATTTCACCTAGCCTGAAGAAGAAGATACGATTTCGTAAGCGTAAGAGAGGGAGCGACGAGGAAGAAGAGTAAGCTTAGAAATGGGTAGTTGTGAAAACAAGCAAATTTACCTGATCTTACGCGCAGAGAAGAGTTTGCCCTGTTCCTCCTCACTAATCCGTTAGTTAGGAACTGGGCAAATTCTTTCTCTGCGCGCACTTCGTATTCGGTTGGCGCCGAGAATGGATGGCTGTTGACGGACTCTTGAGTGTGTCCAGGAGCAGTAACGAAAATGCCAGGTATTGATGGGACGCAGGTATTTGCCGTTCTTTGTACTGCTGTGAACCAATAGAAGCTCGCGATCCTCGCAGATGCTGGATACATTGTGGACATTATGTTCCGTGGCGCAATGTCTTTGTGCTAAATGTGTCCGGTTCTTGGTCAGTAGGAGCGAAGGGGGTTCCAGCAGGATAATTTTGGGAGGTTTCGACTGTTTAATTAATTCAAGTATAAATCCTTACTCTGTAGGATACAGAATAAAAGCTCGGGCTAGAAGGGTTAAAACGCAAAATGCATTTGGGTACACCACATTACCCTTATTTCGGTACCTCGAGGCCCTACTGTAAGCTCGAGCCTCCATAGTTTTTTCCCCAGCGAGTTTGACTGTCCCAACTGAATTTGATGAGCGTAACGAACATGTACAGCAAGAAAGAAGCTATTGGAAAAATCAGCTGAGTACTTGGGATGGGAAATTAATACATGCCTCATTCCAGAGAGGGGCCTCACGACGTCAAGATGACAGCCGTTATCTGGGGGTGGCAGGCCACTCCCAAAACTCCAACCATCATGTGCATCTTGCCATTTCGCCACACAAATGGGTACTGTCCTCAACCAATTCCAACAAAATAGAGAAGAAAGTCCGAGGTTTTACTTGTTTCGGTCTGGTCGGTCTAGCTCCCAAGAGTATAATAGCTATCGATACGGAGGGGGTCCATAATACACTCACTTACTTCTTGGTCAGCACACGGTTCTTGTACTCACCCATAGTACCTCTGAAGCGAGCCACCTTCTGGTCGCCCACCACCCACAACTCCTCGCACACACTTTGCACAAAGTGTTGGTCGTGGGACACTATCACCACACCTCCCTTGTACTCACGCAGAGCGTCAATGAGAGCGTCAATAGTCTCCATATCCAAGTGATTCGTCGGTTCGTCAAGCACCACAACGTGAGGCAGACGCCACGTCATGAGCGCGAAGCCGACACGAGACTTCTGACCACCGGACAGTGTACGCGTGGGCTTAATAGCCAGCTCGCCCGACAGGTTGAAGCGACCGAGATGAGAGCGGAACTCATCCGACTCGTGGCCAGGGAACAGCTCCTTCATGTTCTCCACAGCAGATTTGGACAAGTCCAGCGAGTCGACGTGGTGCTGTGTGAACGTGGCCACACGTAGGCGCGGGTTCATCGTCACCGAGCCCTCGGAGGCCCGAAGCTTGCCGATCATGATGTTGATAAGCGTCGACTTACCCGATCCATTCACACCGAGAATACCAATCCGACTTGACATATCCACGCCAATGTGCACGTCTTTGAACAGCAGGGGCGACTGTGGTGAGTACTGGAAGCCCACGTCCTCGACGGCGATAATGGGTCGGCCGAGCGGCTCCGGGGGTGGAAAATGCATCCGGAAAGCATGTTCATCCTCGGGCTCGTCGATGAGCTCGTTACGTAAGATCTTGTCCAGTGCTTTGACACGCGACTGAACCAATGGAGCCTTCTTGGCGTTGGCGCGGAAGCGCTCGATGAACTCCTGCATGTGCTGGATCTTCATCTGCTGGGCGTCGTAGGCCTTGCGCTGCTGACGCAGATTCTCCTTCATCGTGTGCTCGAAAGTGTTGTAGTCGCCCTTGTAGTACGTGAGCTTCTGGTTCGTCAAGTAAACGATGTCGGTGGTCACGGCGTTCAGGAAGTTTCGGTCGTGGGACACCACGATCATCTGCTTCTCGTACTTTTCTAGATAATGCTCCAACCAGATCACAGCTTCAAGATCCAAGTGATTCGTTGGCTCATCAAGCAGCAACAGATCGGGAGCCATGAACAACGCGCCGGCCAGCGCCGTACGCATCCTCCAACCTCCAGAAAGGGCCTTGGCCGGGCCGTCCACAACGTGGTCAGGGAACTGCAGGCCACTCAAGATCGTACGTGCACGAGACTCGGCCGTGTCTGAGTCGATGTCCACGAGGCGATCATAGATCTCTTTGAGACGCACACTGTGATCGGCCCCCTGGTTGGCCTCCTCGGCCGTGAGCTCCTTCTCCTCTTGCAGCAACATAGTGCGTTCGTAGTCTGCGGCTAGTACGACATCCAGGACGCTACGGTCATCCTTACTGAGCTTAGAAGCCGACTCCTGCTCCACCAATTGGATGCGAATATGTCTTGGAAATCCTTCAAGTTCGTAGTGGGAGATGTATCTGAGCAGCGTCGTTTTCCCGCTCCGTTCTTGCCCACAAGTCCGTAGCGACGGCCCGGTCACGATCTTGAGCGCGGTGTCGGACAGCAGCGTCTTACCCTTGAAGTTAATGGTGAGTCTCGGAACGTGGATGTCCTTCTCGCCGTTATCCTGCGTCAGATCCGGCAGGAAACGCGCGTCTTCCCACTCGCGGTCCAGTTCAGCCTGCTCCTCTTCGCGGTCGGCCGTGAGCTGCTCCAGCTTGATCTGCTTGCGCACCTGACGCGCCGAAAGTGCCGACTGTTGTGCCTCCAGCTCGTCGTTAGTAGTCTTGCGGATCTTGTCGAAGCCCCACATGCGGGCCATCAGCTGCTCGGCGTCGGCTGCACCCTCATCCTTGCGCGCCTGCTCCTCAATGCTCTGAGTTTTTTCCAGCACGCGTACCGCATCCTGCTGTGGACCTGTCACCTGAAGCTCCGGACTGACCAATAGCTTGGCCGCCAGCGACGCACAGAGCTTGGAGGCGGCCGCCTCGTCCTCACAGAAACCCACGCTCAGTAGGAATGGTGCCACGCTCTCGGCCAGTAGCTCTTCCAAGGCTGCCACATCGGAGGGCACTTCATCCGCCAGCTGGTCGGCCACAGCACCGCTAATATACTCGAGGATGGTCTCGTCCAGACCACGTAGGGTGCCCGCGAGGGCCTGCGCCACGACTTGCTCCATGACCAACAAAATTACAAGGACACTCGGCCAATCAGCTTATCCACGTATGCGTTTTTTGCTAAAAACTAGCGACAACTTTCGAGTTTTAAAATGAAGAAAATCGGATTTAAAAGCAATTTTGGTTTTTACGAGCTGTATTTTCAAGCTAATTTTAAGGATGCCACAATTAATAGTGCCTGTGTGGCAGGACAAATTTAGGAAAAATATGTGGACTTTAGGTAGAATTTTTTTTTTCTAGGCTAATATAGTGAAAATCCGGTTTATTTTTTCCAAGATAAAAAATATTTATTTTTTGTAATTTCAAATACTAGCATTTTGCTGCAGTAGTATCCCCCCTAGAACGAATGAGACCATCCTCTTCCTTTTTCGTTGAATTTTAGGGGCAGCTCGGAGGGCAAAGCAAAAATAAATTTAATACCGCAAGGAAAAATTAAGTTAAAAGAAATCTCGTACAAACAGTGTTTTGCCGTCATTATCCACGGATGGGTCAACATTAATTGTTATTATCAGTTCCTGCCAGGTTATTAAGTAGATTTGCGTAATTCATCTAAATTTCCATTTGGTGAGATCGCTTTCCGCAAGGTTTAAATTTTTTATGAGTTGCCATCGCTGTATGGACTCTGGATTTAAAATTCAGAGATTGTTAGAGGCTGAATGTAACGGGGTACGTAACACTAAGTGTACCCTGGTTACATGAAGTGTGACACTTCACACTTCAGGAGTATGACATGTCATACTCCGGGATATTTGGTACAAGGTACCAAGGTCATTCAAAACCAACCATTGGTTAAATGACATTGCATTTCTATAGGTAACTGATAGTTTGTATTAACCTCAAACTTAACCTACCTATAAATATACTCAGTTTACAATCTACCTTATTTAGGTCACTTCGCTCTCTTTAATTAAAGAGGGGACCTGTGAACTGCCGTTCACTGAGAGTTTGTATACTCTCGGAAGATAACTTCCTCTAGCGCAAGGTGCTGTGTGACCCCGTCACACTTGGTAGCACTTGTAGTCAATCGACGCCATCGCGGGTAGACTACCTGAA